TCTTATAAATCAGCACATTAGCTTTTATCTGTATCATTTAAATTAATACAAAGAGTATTGTAAAATATACATATGTTAACAATTAAAGGTAATACTCGATGCTACTTTTACTTTGGCTCATTAAAAGTAATCATTTACACAGGTATCGTTTAGAGATTTCATTGTTGACACAAGTCATTTTATTCTTAATTACTCTATGACTTTTACTTCATCGAATGAATATGAGCTTTGAACACAATTATAATATCAATATGTTCCCTTCTGTTTTAGTATTACACTTTTGATACTTCTGCATTCTGTCTTCTCCAATGCTTAATATCACATTTATATTTTTTATGAAAGATTTAATGGTTCCTTGATAAGAACAATTCGATAAAGAACTAAGTTATGACTCATAACCTAAAACAAAGAAAATTCAGTTTAATAGTATTACCCGCGTATCCGTGTTTAAAAGATAATTCATTCGTTGTATGCTACATTCAGTTACTATTACATTTTTATTCGCTTCAAAATAATTAACTAGAAATACTGTTTCACTAAAAATTACATATGGAATGTTTACTATCGCAGTAATGACAAATGACGTATGCTCAACTAAACTCAACAAAACTAAACACACGGTGATTCAATGCACGCACGCATAGAAAATACGTAGCTACATATACACAGCTCCAAAGTGTTGGACACCTCTTCATTTCCATTAATTTATTAATCAGAATTTAGGTGACATACATTAAATTATTGATAATGATGTACAATATGAGATACAGAAATTCTAATCTAGACTTTAGTATTTCGCTGAAGAATTGCACTTCGAAAATAGGGATTAGTCATTTGGTCAAGGAACATGAAATAAAAATGCAAAGATTCATTTCCATTAATTTATTAATCAGAATTATTCATTTTTACAATAATTTATTAATCAGAATTATGCATTTCTACAATAAATTAGACTCGAAACAGATGAAATTGATTTCAGACAATGTTCTCGTTTTCCGGCTTGGTAGATTCATCGAATAATATAATGCGTGATCGCTACTTTAGATCATGTTTGGTCAAAGATAGCGAAATAAAAATGCCGAATTTAATTCCCATTCATTTATTAATCAGCATACATTTTAAACTCCTTGCCTCGAGCACATAATACATTATCTCTTACAATTAGTATAGCGACGTACTCTTCTTTCCTTCGCCGCATGCAATTTTCGGATTACTTGGTAACAAAGGCTTAATATATTCTCTGAATACATCTAGTGGACAATAAGTCACATCATCACAATCGGGGAAAGTGAGAGTCCGTATTTTACCATTATTTCTGTACAGTACCTGCGGAGAAGAATAATGAAAAAGTCAATAGAAGTTTGGAATTGATAATTAAATTTTCAATGCGAAAATGTTTCTTCTTTTCTCATGTTCATTTAATTCACAATTGGATAAAAGGATTCTACGTGAAAAGAAAACTAATTCAATACCTGTACGTAATATTCATTTTCTTCTTCGTGTAATTCGAACATGAGACTACTGCTATAAGAAGGAATTTCATTATCGTAATTATCTAACGTTGTAAGTATAGCAGCCAAGTTTAATTCATGGGCCGCGTACATAAATGCCTTTCGTGTATCACTCTTATTCAAATGAGCATCAATATGATTTAACCATTCGAGGAGCCACACTCCTGTCGAATAAAACAATTAGAAGCTACGACATGTATATTCATGAATAGAAATCTTACCGCCTAACAATTGTTTTAATTCTGGAGTACGAGTTCGAATTACAATGTCATACTCGGCCAACTCGTCTAGTCTCCCATTTGGAAAAACTGATTTCGTCCATTTTGGTAATCTTAGACCAATATCCTCCTAAAATTGTTTTAAATCGTGAGCATTCTTTAATACATTGTCTTAGATCTGACATTCCGTTTTTTAAACATTATGTTTACCTGTGCATATAAATACTGACGCAAACCGAGGACACGCAATTGTGTTATGTTACCACCTGTGTAAGTAGACAGATAATCATAAACGTCTTTGTTCCTTTCCTCAAATTCTATCACTTCACTGTCTGTCTTCTCCACATCATTTCTCCATTTTTTATAGTTATTGCAAAATACACCATTATACAAATAATCGTTCGATATCGGAGGTGCCCATACGGGAATCGGTTGCCAATTTAAATCCGAATTCCATCTGTAATTTATTATGCATTATACTTCGAGTGGAGTTGGTCACTTTGTCACTTAAGAAGTGTAACATAATTGAGCATATGCTCTGATTTGCTTTTAACTGTGGACCTTTGCTCGTTACACGGTGGATACAACCCAGCTGCCACAAGTTCTCCAGTCATCACGACTCTGTCTACTTCATCCGCTCGAAACCAAATATCTTTTTTAGAATAACATGGTCCTAAAAATTGGTCGTATCTTTCTCGAAAATATTGGCCAAGTTTAAACGCCGACATTTTTCCAATCTACGTGAGAATACAAAACGAATTATCGAAACGTCATTATTTAATTTTGTGGAACGATTAAATTAAGACCGAATAATGATTGGAAAAACGCACGTTTGTCAGGCTTCCTCTTCCATCCGGTTTGTAGGTATAATTAATATAAGGATCCTTAGGATAAAACGATTCTTTCGTAGGCATTCTATTTCCATGTCTAAATACCGTTTGTAAAACTTTCAGTTCCCCGAAAGTTACACGACAATAAATTAAGCAAACGATGATCTTCAACACCCACGGTACAGTCATTTTTTCTAGAATTCAGTAAAGTCTGCTTCAAAGTTCATTAAATAGATTTTGAAATTCAGATGTGAATTGTATTTGATCCAATATGACGAGCACATTATAAATTTAATTAGAAAAAGACATTTTGTACGATTTATTTCTATTGTATTTAAATTCTATATTATTTTTAAATACGCGTAATGAAATATTAACGTTACCATGGACGAATAGTTAATTGATGAAAAACTGGTTTCGATATAATTTGGAAAATCATAAGTATGCACATGCACACCCTACAGTCTTATCATTAATTAAGAAAGCAAGTTATTTTTTATGCATCAAGTCACGTTGCGTCTATAATAATTTTACAGCCATCACCACATTTTTATATCTTTCCAGGATATGAAGAGGGATTGATTTTCATAGTATCTGATAAAGCGAACACGATTTGGAAAATTAAAAGGAAGTTAATCAATACACCACAATATGCATACGATCACTTTTTCGTTAACAGAACAATCTTCTTCCTTTCATTCGATTATTGTTGTCTTGTCCTTTGCCTGTTTCACGTGTCAATTGACACGACAGTTGTCTCAACACAACTGTCATTGACAATTACATAATACAGTACTCGAGCACATTTTTCTTTTTTAGACTTCAGTTGCGGATGTCGCGCGAGTGTCTTGAAAGTGTAGGGCATACCAATAAATAGTAGAAAGGAAATAATGTATGTAGAAAACCAGTTTTTAAAGTCAAATTTATTGTTACACAATCGTTACGAGATTTACCGTTATCTTGTGCGTGGAGGCCAGAAGTTTTAAGTTCGCGTAAAACATATTTTATTGATATCACTTATGATAATGTTTTACGATTAGGTAATCTTATTATTTTTGTCCTAATATTTCTGATTAATTTAGTTTTCCATGTTTATCTCCTGTCCATTCTCGTTTTAACAAATTTATTGTTATTTTTTATTAGTATTATTATGACTTAATAATAGCGATGAAATCACATTTGTAACAATAAACGAAATATTGTACTGAAAAACATTTTTAAATATCGGCCAAGTAATCGCGAAGATAATTTCATAATTATTTTAAGTGGTAACGAATAATACGGCTAAAGCATAATACGAAACGTACTTACGTTGAAGAATGTGGGACAAGTAATTACAGTCACCAGTGCACTAAACTAAACTGTACAAAGATTCTTCACGCCTTTGTTTTTACTAATGATGATACGAAAGTAACAAGCAGATTAAGAGGTAATGATTGTGATGACATTTTCCTGTTGTGAAACGCTTGGACGATTCGCGTAAGTGTTGTGCTCGAATGAGAAATGTATGTAGAGCCCGCGACACGTAATCAATGAAGAAAAATCGATTAATGTAAAAGGAAGTTCTGTTCATAAGTGTTGTTTGATTCATAACTTCTAACTATGCATGATGTGTCTTGAATTATAATCCTAATACTTGCATCAAATTTTGACAGAATAACGAAAAAAAAATACGCGATTAAATATGCATAATGGATTTATTGTAATGAATTTTAAGTATGTTCTTCGGGGGAATAAATGATTAGACTGTTTGTAAGTTAAGTAATTTAATTTAATTATATTGAAAATGTCTTTTACATTTTTAATTAAACGATTGTCGCTTCTATTTTCGAAATGTAATATAAATATTTAAATTACAAATACGTTTACATGCGTGTATCGAGACATTTGATAAATAAATAATATCGTGCGTAGAGATAAATCTGGTATAATAATTAAGGCAGTACGAATTACAGTCCGTTGCAATTTTTTTTTGCACGACGTCAATATAATTAGTATGTTACTGATTTATAAATTAAGAATTATTTACGTATTTACATTCTTCATATCGTCAGTTCAGAATTACACAAGTTACGCTATTATGAAATTGATTGTTTAAGTTAAGTGCATGATCGATTACGAAAATACTTATTTTTTGTTTAAATCATATAATACCATATTATTATTATATATACATTAAGTTCAATTATAATCATATAAATATTCGTCGCGTTAAAAGACAGCCTGTACGAAGACTACGGAGCTTCCTTTGGTTTTAAAGGAATGCAATTCACGCTTGAATGTTTTGCGCGGCTACTTAGCTTCGATAACTCCTGCCGTTCTTATTAAATTATATTTCAATAACTCTAATTCTTCGGTAGACTTCTTGTCCAAATATTCCCTTGCCAGACCCTTATCGCAAATCATTTCTTCGTTCGATGGCAATACCTCCTCCACCAGTTGGAGATATTTGTCCAATGGACAGAGTACATCACAGCCAGGTATTTGCACCACGTGTGCTCTGGACGGAATACCCACGTAGTAAACCACCTTTAACGATACAATACATCAAACACGTAATATGAAACAAATGGATTCGCTTGTGTGTAGACAAACTCAAAAATGACAAAAGTTGATATTTAAACTTCTTGAAGGCCTTGTGTGTCTTTATATGCGAGAGTATGTGCAATATTGTTGTCACAAGGACTTCAGACTTTCGATAATCAATAATTCGCGTTAGTAATTGTTTACGCACGCTATCGAAACCAGAGAAATATCGTAAATTATTTTCGATAATCAATAATTCGCATTAATAATTGTTTACGCACGCTATCGAAACCAGAGAAATATCGTAAATTATGAATGACCTTGGTTACGACTGCAATAGCCGTGTTAATATGTATCTTTGTGAGCGAGACATTGGCAAAAGAATGAGATAAATACGCGTTTCCATAATTAATATTAAACTACTGACTAATAATTTAAACGAATTCGATATTCGTAATAAAAATCAATGCTTCTAAGAATATCATTATTATTAGCTGATGCTATTTAAATTATATATGTATATTTTCACATAAAAAGATATGTTGCTACGGACCTGTACGTAATAGGCGTTAACGTTATGATGAAGTTCTAATATGATAGCACTGGAGTATTCCGGGACGTGGGGATAGTAAGCACCAAGCGCATGTAAAACGGCGGCAATGTTGCTTTCGTGACCACTAAACAAATGCATCTTTTTTCTATCTTTTTCTGATCCTGACACGATGTCTAACATGGCCTTGGTAACAATTCGAAGCCATGGACCTGAAATAAAGATAGAATGAGATAAAATAATGCAACGTTTTGAAGTAAATTTGAAAATCGATAAAAAATTTGTATGGCTTTACCTCCGTACAGTCTCTTCAGTAAAGGCGTCGAATTAGCAATGTCGTATGAAAATACTGTTCCGTCGAACAGTTCTCCTTTTGGGAAAATGTCTTTCGTCCAGTGTGGCAAAGTGTAACCCATCGAATACTCGGCCATCAGTGTATGGTAAAGATAATACATATCAAGAGGTGTAGTTATATTTTTTCCAGTCCAATTGGTCAAGTTCTTCATCAGCGTACTATATTTCGATATTCCAGCCCTTCCTTCAGGGGACTGTAATACTCTTTGGTATTCAACTGCATATCTGAGGACAAGAAAATTGTAATACAATTCTTTTCATTTAACTCCGAATGGAATTTACGACAAAGAGAAATTAGGATCTCGTAAGAATTTGAATTACAAAAGACAGTCTTCTGGGAGGAATACGTTGTCCTCGTAGCGTCGCAAGTATTGGGCAGGAATCGGTTGCCAATGTAGATTGTGATTCCACAATTGTAACTCGTGTGGTGGGAAGAGTCCGGCAAGAACGAGTTGCAAAGACATTTTTGTTCTGTCGTAATCAGAACTGAGAGCCGAGACCGATTGTGACGTGTAAATGTTTCCCAGGTATGGCGCATAATGATTCCTCAGAAATTGTCCCAGTGTGAATTCACGCATCTTACCTGCCTGTAATTATCCAATTTTCTTCGTGTCACAAGAGTTCTCAATATTTCGTCGAATACTAATAATACATATGAGTTAATAGTGGAATACGAATCTCGCTCCTTGATCAGGTGAAACGATCCGATTTTATGTCGATTATGTTCTTTCCTAATTTATTATTAATTGTAATAAATTAGGAAAGAAATCGGTTACAAAGATTTTTCATATTTCTCACTGATCTCTCACGGAGATACTTCAAAAATATTTGAAATAAAAAACATAATTGTTTTATCTGTTAATAAATTATTAAAGCACTTATGTATGTTAGAGTTAAAGGATTAAACTAGGAACAGTTGATTAACATATTGTTCATAGAATATTCTTGTAGATTATTCGAAAGTATTTGTGTCGAATACGAGTTCACTTGTTTAAAGAAAAAATACAAGATGCCGACTCACGTCTACTGTTTAGAAAATAAAAGATGCTGATTCACGTTTCTTGACTTCGACGTTTAAGAAATGAAAAACGTGGATTCCAGTCGACAATGTATTAAGAAACAATGAAATTGTTAACTTACATTTGTCAGCTGGCCTCGACCCATTGGATAAAAGGTACTGTTGAGGTAAGGGTCGTTCGGATACATTTCATCGGCATTATTATCCGGCGTTCTATCGCCATGCCTAAATATCTGTGAAATTATCGAGATTGGATATAAAAATTTATCTAATTAAATGATCAAATATTGTTCAATTTACAACACAAATTATGCTTCTTCACTTGAAAGTTCGTAAACTTTATCGATCAATTTTCTTACAACGATCGTTGTGCAATTAGGAAAAAGCGTATTTTCTTACCACGTTCACTAGCTTAAGTTCTGCTCCAACAGTTGTGACGCCGATTAACGCAGCTAAAACCACAATTGCATACATCGATAATAAGTTTATGCGGCCGCCGAACGAAACCATATTGCACCCGGTCAATCTGAAACAAAATAAAAAAGAAATATATTTGAAACAAATCTTATTTTAATACAATTTTCAAGATGAATAGCAAATTAAAATTCTTCCACGTTTCCTTCTTTCTTTGCAAAATGATACGAACACGTTTCACTTCGTATCTGCGGCACTTCGAATTCGCAATTTACTCTGTATTAAACTAAACTAAATTATTATATATTTATCGGTTAATAATACTTTTGTAGACTATACTCCTTTCTTATCATGTTTAGAAATTAAATGATTAAATGATCGTGCATTTTGCACTTATAAGTTCTTCAAACTACGTGAATTTAAATATTTTTTAAAATCCAAGTTATACCTAAAATAATATATGAATTATCTGAAAACGTAATGAAGTGACATGATGTTACTCTGAATTCATAAACTTATACGAAGTATCAGTAAATGACTTACATGCTAGCGATACACGGTCTGCTATACTTATGTGTAGATATTATACACTATTCTGTTTTAATCGTATCGTTTTTCAATTTCTTTTCATTGTCAACACACTACGAAATGATGAATGGAGATTATACTTACATTCTGTTTTAATTGTTACTATATACCGATAACACCCTGGCAATTAATGATAGTTGAAGCTTTGATTGTGAGACCACTCGGTGGAACACTGGCCACGTTGCTTTATATGCATATGATTTTAAGCGAGAGAAGACGTCAAATGCGATATATCTTTCTCAGGAATTGTTTCTCAATCGTCGATTTCGGTGTCATTAGGATGAGAGCTATGGACATGATGGAAGTTCCCGTTTTCCTGACCCCCCATGCATTTCATCGCGTGGTTACACGCGAACCGATAAGGAAAACTTTCTTAGGGTTCTTATATGGTGACGATATTTCCACAAAGCGAATATGCGTGCATGCATAATGGGATTCGTCAGGATCCCCGCGGGTAATGGGAATGTTCGGCGCAGAGAACGTAATTCCCATTTCCTCTTAAATTATTCACTTCGTTTCCTTACTTACTCATCTTTTCTCCAATTAATTATGATCCTTCATTTCCTAAATGATTTCACACTATAATGAAATAAACGGACACTAAACTCTTAACGAAAGTTGAAAAGTGTATTGAAGAAAAGCTAATATGAATAATAAATTGTCAGTTTAAAACCGATTTAATTAGTTGACAGACAGATGAATGACTCTCGGAATGAAATAAAAGCAATTTAAATCCCCGTTCTTACGCGATATCAGAGTTATGCAGTAATTGAACATTTACATACACGTACTTTCTCATTATGTATTGATAATAATTGTATAGTGGATAACGTGTTCTCGGAAAATACCGTACAGTTTCTATTCAATGTCTATTTTTGTAGACACCATCCGTTTTAATTGAACGCGTTCATCCCAGTTAATGACAACGTGACGAATACATTCGTACTAAATATTACAATATTTAGCATTCAGAAACAGTATGTCGAATTTTATGCAAAACCAGGCATATTTACTGTATCAATTTATAAAATGTATTTCAAGTAAATATTTCTTTCATTATTATTCTGCATAGTTTTGCACATTATACGTAGCATTCGACTTTCTTATAAACGCGTAACATCCGTTGTACGATAATAAATAATTTTATGAGATACTGAATGAAAATGTTACCTCTGTAAATAATAATGTGGTTTACATACCACAGTTATTCACACAATTCGTACATTTTAATTCTCTTACAAAACAGATTAGGTTTAAATGAATGTAGATGAACTCTTATCAGAAGTTATCGCCACGGAATTGAAATACATCAAAGTATAATTTTCTTTCTGGGTTAATTCTTTTTTAATCGTACGTTATCGAATTTAAACGCGAGTTTAAATACTCGCATTTAGTTGAAAGTATCTCGATTTGTGAAATGTAGAATGTATATAATATAATTTATCGCAGAAAATAGAACGTTGTGTTATTCTTATTGAAGGATAACATGCGAACGTCTTATAGGGGGTCAATAAGAATTTTTTATTTAAGATAAGCAGAATCTTTTCTGATGTTAAAGTACGTTTCAATGATATTGTACTTCTTAATCTTTGTCACGATTTCTTTTGCAATAAACCTGTCGTTGTACGTCAATATAAGAGCCAAACGAGATGAAGCTCGAATTAAGTGCTTATCACAATTTTCTGTCGATCGTTTCAACAGAGGTCTTGTGCAAACAAGCAGTAAATAGATTTGTCGAAGTTTCAGAAGCAGTAAAATCATGCATCAGAGTTGTGATTAGTTAAACCATTCAACTGTGATGCATGGCACGATAACGATGTTCAAGAAAGATAAAACCTAGGATTTATAGTTCGTGAGCTTGCGATTACGTAAACCAAAACGAATAATGAATAAGAAATGAGTGTAATACATTACACTCCGTGCAATTGACCATTAATTTTCACACGTGGGAAATCCTTCTTCGAGGTTCCTAGTTTCCTTTTTTTTTGGAGGCGTTAGGCGATTTTATGTCTACGCGAACACGAGACAGCCATATGACCATGAAAGAAAACTTGGTAATTCTATGCAATACTTATTGTAACTAAACAGAAATTAAAGTGGAACATAATAGATGATTATGTAAAAGTTCAGTTTTAAAAATACTTAACTATTGTCGAACGTATTCAAATGCTTAGATACTCCTTCCAAATAGCCCTTGTAAATTGTTGAAAACGGTCGAGTCGTTATTTGACAGCGTGCAATGGAACACGGAATACTTTCAGGAATATCGCTACATCGAATTCCGTGCTGAAGTTTTATAGATTTCAAGAATACTAATTACTTACGTTTTTATCGCACCTTAAACTGTGTTTTTCGTGATAACAACTCGCACACGTTTCACGAATATGTAAGTACGTGAAAACTATCTATCCGTCGAAACTTAAGGATGTATTGGCTATACAGTCAATCCCAAAAGTTTATGTACCTTAGAAAAACGCATTTCCTATAATTAAAAAGAAATCAAACGTCGGAAGAACAATGCTAATAACAAATAGTTACGTGCTAAAAAGTATAGAAGGAAATATCCGATTAATTATTGACGATAGCGAAAACTTTATTATACAGATATTATAGGCACTGATGTCCTCTACAAGAA